GCTAACATCAATGTTGGCTACCTAGGCTGATGTCCACTGACAACATCATTTGTCTTAACTTGTTTGAGTGGCATTGGGTTGTTTAATGGTTAAACTGCTATTATCGTTGTTCAACATCATTTTTGTATTTGTGTCTGTATTTTTAAATGTTGGTAGTATTAATCATCTCAGAAAAGAAATACAGTTCGCTCTACCCCCATGAATAGTGTAATGTAGTTTACTCTATAAAACAGTTTTACCCTAAGCTGTTACAGGTGAAGTACAAGGCTACAACAGTTCAGGACAAAACTGTGCTTTATTACACTATGCATGGGGGTAGAGCGAACTGTATTTCTTAAATAACTGTGTCCCTTTATTACACTATGCATGGGGGTAGAGCGAACTGTATTTCTTAAATAACTGTGTCCCTTTATTACACTATGCATGGGGGTAGAGCGAACTGTATTTCTTAAATAACTGTGTCCCTTTATTACACTATGCATGGGGGTAGAGCGAACTGTATTTCTTAAATAACTGTGTCCCTGAATGTTGTATATCAGTAAATTCAGTTAATAAGTTATCAGAGCCAATTATGATTTTCCCTTTCATTCAATGTCACAAATTGTCCAAATTAGTCTCTACTTATATTTGAACTTATCACATAGTGATCAGCTAACTAATTACCAGTTGGAACGTCATCACCATGAGGCATGGGCAGGATATTAGTATTTACAGAGTAATTGCTTGTCAACACATAATGACATACTGTATGTTATAGTCATGTAATGTGAGGGTATGTATATATACTGGGTTTTATTTGATTATCTCCCACCATTAGGTACTTACAGATTACATATTACATTTACACAAACAATGGATCGTGTCGCGGCCAAGTGATACACACCTTGAATGGTCATGCTGAAGGCCATGTTTTATTTTCACTTGGGTACAATGTGTCAAGTCTTTTCGGGATATTGCTGAAGGCCAGGTTTTATTTTCACTCACTCACCCTCCTACTCCTACTCACTCACTCACCAATTTATACACTTCATATAGGAGTCAAAGTAAATGCACCATCTGTAAGTTTAATTTTCATCAAGAGTCCAGACTTAGCAATAATTCATAATAAAACTAAGTTTCTGGGACTGCACACGAAACAAAGTATGTCAATAAAAGAAATGTCATTTTGTTAGTATAACAACAGAATTCATTAGGTAATGTAGGCCACAAACAAGCTCATTAAACAGATGACACCTGAGAAAGTCATGTGACTATTTGTCCCTGAGGACCAGAGTATTATAGTCAGCCCTGTTGACTGATGCCAGTTTATCAGTCAGTGTGTTCCATGTCTAGGTCTGTCAGGTGTAGTGCATCTGTTTGTAACTACAGGGTGGTGGGCATGGATTAAAAGAGCACAAATGTATGGGAAATCATGTCCTTCAAGGATCTAGGGTCAGTATATAGAGAGGTGCAGCCTTGAATTTGTTACTTCCCCTCTAGTCTGCCAGCTGATGTTGAGGATGCTTATCTATAAAATAATTACACAAAGATTTTTATGCTCAATCGTATCATAATTATCACAAAATACAATATTTTCAAATCAAGATTAGCAAGTAGACATCCTAATATTTCACATATCAAAAAAGATGTCGAAATATCATCTGATTTAGGTAAATACAACTCGAAGATAAATTGCAGTGTACCATCATTTCTATAGGTTTGGTCATCATGCCATATGCTTTTTTAGTTGAAGATGTTGTCTATTTAGTTCATTTCATATTCTCTGTACATCTGGAAGATCATTATCAAAATTCCAGGAAATATCTGGAAATAGTGGACTATTCACTGTATGTTGACTTTGTACGAAAAAATACGTAAAATAAAAAACAACAATAATAATTACAAAAATATAATGTCTGTCTAAAGCTCTCAATGTACAGTGGAAATTGGGTTCAAATGGTTTCATTTTTAGTGCAAGTTCACACAAAATTTAACTGTAGTTCATTGTACGTTTTGTTTCTAAAACAGATTGACCATATTGGTCTACCAACAGTGTGATATACGGTATATAGGAAGTTTGCTGACACTGGTCCTGTGGTCAATGATGCACAAAGAGCTGTATCTGTTGTGAAAGCAATGGCAATTTTAGGTATCCTCACAGGAAGATCTTGATTGATGCTGAGGCAATTATGATATCCATTATAGAAAAACACATTTAACACTGACAACAGCAACATTTAAGATTATACTGAAACAAGGGACTGCCTGTGTGTTGTGTAGTGGATTCGGTTAAAATAGTGTAACAATATTGAATCATTTAACCTTACCTGGCACAAGGAGATGACAGGTTAAATGTCCTGTGTAAGGGAGATAAATCTTGCTTTCTTCACCACAGCTTCTTCCCTACTTTCAACAGTCATCCATGTCTATTTTACATCATCTATCAGTCAATACATGTGTGCACATTTATTTGAAGTGTCTTAAAATGTTCCTGATAAAAAAAGTGGGGACAATAGCAGAACTTCTGCATTGTATGCTTTCTCTCTCTTGATAAGGGGTGGTGGGGTAGCCTAGTGGTTAAAGCGTTTGATTGTCACACTGAAGACCCGAGTTCAGTTCCCCACATGGGTACAATGTGTGAAGCCCTTCTGGTGTCCGCACTGTGATATTGCTGGAATATTGCTGAAAAGCAGTGTAAAACTAAACTTGATATGGTCCTGTGCCAAGGTTAAGTTTAGATGTTGTAAATTAATGCCAGTTTATAAACCCAGATGTTTCTGTGTCTATGGGATCATCATTAACAGTCAGATTTAAACACTTTATTGAATCTGAATGCATACAGGCATTGAATTTCTTGACACAACTTTCCTGGAACTGCATGTTGGTCTGCATCTACTCTTTCTTAAAGGATGGGTACCAGCTCATATGAGTTTACAAACTTCAGATAACTGGATAATACAGATTCAGACAATAATTGTCCCTGTTTTCAAAACTCAGCTGAAATTGTTGTACAAATTCTGTTTCATAAATATTACAAGTCATAAATATAATCTGTGTGTACGAGTTTGTTATTATGATGCCAGACCAGTTGAATTTCTTGTTATATGGGTTTTGGTCAGCTTGATGAGAGATAGAAGGCAAAGTACCCAAAACCTCTTCAATTAATACTTCAACTAAAATGAAAACACTGAAAAGAGGTTCAATACCATTTACAAAATGAATTGCTCTGATGAACGTTTTGTTTTTTGACCTTCGTTTATCATGTTTTTTCAATCCTCAACTGACTTTAATCATCAGCTTCCTGACAGTGCCATCAAGTCATAATGCATGATAAACAAGTATAGACGTGACATTATGACAATATATCGCCTAGAAGAGAGTCATTGCATGAATTTTTTATACCCCTCTGACAGATGCTGTGTGTGTGATACATTTGTCGTTCCCTGTGTGCTTGGAAGCTTCCCCAGCAGGTGTCAGTCTTAGGCGTTACTGATAGTTATTCATTAACTACAAGTTACATGGGGCAATTAGTTGATTCTATTAATTAATCAAAGAGATATAAGACGACTAAGGCTGTGTTTCAGTGTCACTAGTAAAGCTGCTGAGTCAGCACTTTGGAGATAAGACAATTACAATTATTTGATTTAATGGAAGACTTTTTTATGTTTATAGAAACATATATGCAAAGAAAATTTGTTAGATGCCAATCAAATGCCAAGGAATTGCTTGCAAATATTTTGTACAAATGAATTGAAAATTCATTTATTGCAATTGTAGTTTCATAGATATTGTAATTGTAACCTAATAGAACACATTTGAATACTTTTAAATATGTTTTATACATTATGTGTTTTTTTATGTGCCCTGAATTTCACAAGGTAAATGGACACAAGTTAATGTGATGTACATGAATGTTGACATGATGTATACCTATGTGTTGTCACGTTTAACACATGTTTCATGGTGATTCACAAGTATCACTTGACGATTTCTGTAACAATGTGGTGATAATCAATGATGAAAGTTGTGTTCTGTGGCTATGCTTGTTACAGGTATTGAACCATCATACAGAAAGAGATGAATCATTGATTATTTTCCTTTCAATACAAATTTAGATCAATACATATATATGTTTTTACAGACTGGTGTGTGGTTCTTCATATAAGACATTGTAAGTATGGGATACGCCGTGTATCACACAGTTGTTCCCATGTCAATACAGCTTATTAATATCTCCACTGAGGTGAAACCACCTACTTTCGTAAGCTCTGTAAGGAAAGAAAACCTTGTTTGTGAAGAAGAAGAGACAACTTCCTATAAGAATGACTCAGTCAGATTGTTTTGAAGGATGATTTATCAATTCAATAGGCTTGTTTAAGCGCTCAGGAGCTTATTAAAGTTTCATATATCCTTGTGCCCTGACATTGTTCATCAGTAGTCTTGGACAAAATAGACTACTGTTTGGACTTTTCCGCTGTGGAGGAAATGTAAAGATTATTGTTGTTTATGGAATTTGGTCATTGTGAATGAAGTGGATTTGGTAGCCTGGGAATTAATGACACATGACAAATGCAACTTTAATAGATGGCAGCTCTGAATGTAAAGAGTGATGACCTATCGTTTCTGTAATCATTTTAGACAATACCGTGAGCCTGTTTCTGTGTATTATGAGATGTATTGATCACAATGACTGTATCCAAACATGCTCTTTCTCCCAACTATTCCATCAGTGCTTCCTGGTCGGGTAATAATGAAATTACACTGATTCTCCAGAGCATGATAAATGGCTGATAGAATTAGCTCTAAATGTCTTAATTCACGAAATGCCAAACGACAATTGACGGGCATCTATAGACATTTTTAATTATTTCTTTTAAATCCTGTTTTTAATGCCAGCTCATATTGATTATCTTGATCCTTAAGCTAGTTACTTTCATGAACATACAAGAGTAATGCTTAGCTTAATGTTGATATGGGTTTTTTTTTCTCTCTCATTGATGTTAAGGCAGTAATTACTGAGTCGTCTGCATTCGTGGATAAGGCTGCCCTGGTCATGTAATATGTCTGATATGACCTGATCAGATTTAATGGAAGAATATATGAATAGTGTCGTCTGGTATCGACTAACGGGATGCTTGTTATGGACAAGTGACGTTGGGCACCTACTGAAGCAGACGCACGTACATGTGCCTGTGTGTTGATTTGACAAAACAATATTGATTGATTTGAGTGAGAGAAGGACCAGAACCTGGGACATGGGCTCCATCTCTACCAGAGTGTGTCTCGAAGGATCAGCCCTTGTAGCCATGATTAATTGATTACTGTTTCCCTTCTCATGGGCACAGACATGTTTGTTATGTAACCTATGTCCATCCCACGAGGTGGTCATCCCAATTCCATGTTAGGCGTTGGGCAGACAGCAGACGACATTTTCTACTTCCTTACAGACCAATCAGCCAATCAGGTGTGTGGATATATCTAGGCTATGGTCAGGTCTGCTTCTTCTGTGATTGCAAGTGGTCCATGTTTTCTGTGACAACAAATATTAAGCCATGTGTGAGTACTTGTGACAAGATGGACTAGTGAATTCATGGCCATTCTAAAGGGGCAGATCGGCTGCCATGATGCTTGAGCGTTTCCGGATGCTGATCGTGGAGGCTGCTACAGCCACAGGTAGGGATCAGGCAGCATGTATAGATTTACAATAGCCTCTAGCAGAAGCAGGCTTGGAGGGAAAGTACAGGAACACTTGGATGCACATCAGAAAGTAATGGCAAAATGATTTCAGTGAGAGGTGTAGCTATTCAAAATACCTAAAAATATATATATTGAATGGCAACATAATCATTTTCTGCTTTTCATTTGATATTTGGCAATTATGACTTTAACCTTGTATTTCTGATGGCTTTTTGTTGAAGACAATCAGTAAAAACAAATGTTTGACAACATTAATAGATATAAGTTCTTGGAACAGGCACCTTGTACAGGGGAGATATGTAGGCAGAACAGGCTCCTTGTACAGGAGGAGATATGTAGGCAGAACAGGCTCCTTGTACAGGAGGAGATATGTAGGCAGAACAGGCTCCTTGTACAGGAGGAGATATGTAGGCAGAACAGGCCCCTGTACAGGAGGAGATATGTAGGCACAAACAGTTCCATGTACAGGAGGAGATATGTAGGCAGAACAGGCTCCTTGTACAGGAGGAGATATGTAGGCAGAACAGGCTCCGTGTACAGGAGGAGATATGTAGGCAGAACAGACTCCATTATACAGGAGGAGATATGTAGACAGAAAAGGCTCCTTGTACAGGAGGAGATATGTAGGCAGAACAGGCTCCTTGTACAGGAGGAGATATGTTGACAGAACAGGCTCCATGTACAGGAGGAGATATGTAGGCAGAACAGACTCCATGTACAGGAGGAGATATGTAGGCAGAACAGGCTCCATGTACAGGAGGAGATATGTAGGCAGAACAGACTCCATATACAGGAGGAGATATGTAGGCAGAACAGGCTCCATGTACAGGAGGAGATATGTAGGCAGAACAGACTCCATATACAGGAGGAGATATGTAGGCAGAACAGGCTCCATGTACAGGAGGAGATATGTAGGCAGAACAGACTCCTTATACAGGAGGAGATATGTAGGCAGAACAGGCTCCATGTACAGGAGGAGATATGTTGACAGAAAAGGCTCCTTGTACAGGAGGAGATATGTAGGCAGAACAGACTCCTTGTACAGGAGGAGATATGTAGGCAGAACAGGCTCCTTGTACAGAGGAGAGGAGATATGTAGGCAGAATAGACTCCATATACAAGAGAGGAGATATGTAGGCAGAACAGACTCAGTGCTATACAGGAGGAGATATGTAGTGCAGCTGCTTGGCTCCTGAAGCTGGTTTTATAGTGCTAGCCCACTGAGATACCATGCCGCAGTGAAGCAGAACAGGCTCAGTCCTTGTTGTACCCATTAATGCCGAGCCAGGCAGGGACCAACAAGTACCATATTTTAACGCCTTTTGGAGGATATGTTGAACAGACCTTCCGCTCTCGGCTTGCGCTCTAACCACTACAGGAGGAGATATGTAGGCAGAATAGACTCCATATACAGGAGGAGATATGTAGGCAGAACAGACTCCATATACAGGAGGAGATATGTAGGCAGAACAGGCTCCATATACAGGAGGAGATATGTAGGCAGAAAAGGCTCCATGTACAGGAGGAGATATGTTGAGGCAGAACAGGCTCCATGTACAGGAGGAGATATGTAGGCAGAAAAGGCTCCATGCAATATGTTACAGCAAATCTATCATCCAGGACCATATTGTAGGATGTTCATGCAGGCATGCAGTGACAAAGATGACTTTTCTCATCCTGTGTATGAAGGTCTTGACTGAGAAACTCACGCATCTGACTGGAAGTTTAATAGACTTGTATGCCATCTCAGAGAGTCATTTCAGGACTTTCATCTCTGGGTAAATTCCATCAGATTACTACAGGCACAGTAAGTAACTGTGTCATTAGTCCTGTCTAGCAACAATTCTTGATGTTCGATTTTGTGAGACAATAGGTCACCCTGAACTATATTCACCAGATTCACAAATTATGAAGTCTGACTTCAACATTGACGTCAGTCCAATAGATTAGAAAAGAATCGTTTATCCAAACCAACAAAAATATTCATGAATGTAACCATGAGTTCTTACATGCCCTTGTCCAAGACATCATCCATAATATATTATTTCCACAGAATTGTTAATGTATTTTAAAAGATATCAGAAATGGAAATGTCTTGAAAATAGCAACCAGATTACATCTCACGGAAGGTAACTTTAAATGTCATCTTGTGGAGCATTTAGGGCTGCTGTGTTTTATTGGTATTTGTACAATGTTGGCCTGAATGAGAGTTGGCCCAGCAATGAGGTTTCTCCATACAGTGTATTGTCTGGTGACCGGGATCCGTAGGCAAGGCTGTATCAAGGGGGCGGCCTATTGAAAGGATATACTTAAGTCTTAATGCATGTTTCAGTGGATAAAAAGCACCATATTGATTTGCAGTCACGGTTTTAGTGATGACGTATTTATTGTCTCTGTGTGTGTACACTGCTCTCTGGTTTCATTGTCAAGCAGCACAGATCATCACTGAGCTACATAGTATGAAGCAACCAATATTGTACTCACTCCGGTACCAAGAAATGATGACAATCACAAATGGAATTGTTAGTTCTAATGGTATTCACCCAGGACCCAGTTCCCCAAATGGTTGTAGAGTTACCACTGTCATAACTCACATTTGTCTTACTTGCTGTTACTTTGCATGGTGTTCAACATTAGGGAATACAAATAAGGATTTGGTTTGTTTCTGAGTGGAGTATCCATTTGAGTTCAAGGAATTGTTATTAGTTTCATGCCTTTGTTTACTGTCTGTGATCTTTACTTTCAATGTATTTGGGTAGAAAATGGCACACTGTCCATACAAAACCTTTTCTGTAATTAGGTATGGTTTAATGTATGTAGATTTGTGTAACTAATTAATTGACATAGTCAGTGTGGATAAATGTGTATGAATGATCAGGGAATGTTATGATGAAAATGTTAAGTAAAGCCACAAGATCCCCATGGATTAAGTGAGTGTACAAAACACCTGCAAGTCCAGCTTAATTCATTTTGCTAATGGCTCCCTATCTCCGAGCCAATGATTTCTTCATGGTGTTGACATAGGAGCCATAATGTGCTTAGCACCATTACAAAAATGGTAATGCTGATCATGTTTGATTCCATTTCCTTAACTTACCCTTATTACAAGAAGTTCATGTAGGGCAATATGGTGAGATTCTCAGTGAAGTTTTGGGGCGGTTGGGTAGCCTAGTGGTTAAAGCGTTGGCTCGTCACGCCGAAGACCCGGGTTCGAATCCCCACTTGGGTACAATGTGTGAAGCCCATTTCTGGTGTCCCCCGCCATGATGTTGCTGGAATATTGCTTAAAGCGGCGTAAAACTAAACTCAGTCAGTCAGTGAGTCAGTGAATTTTCAAATACTGCTTTTTGTAAATAGCTTAGATTGAGACTAGCAACACTGTTAAATTTAAGCTTTGATTTCTGTATGGTGTTTTAAGTAAAAGATTGTTTACTGAACACTTAAGAGAGAGAGGGAGGGAGGGAAAGAACAGAGAGAGTGACAGGTGTGTGTTGTTCCCACTATACCCCACCCTAGCTGTCATGTTGTCCATCTGATCCTCATTAAAATCCTGGTACTTCAATAGTACATGTAGTACCTTTGTATCCACATAATTCTACTGTGACTGAAATTAGGTAACAACCTTTTTTTATAACAGTGACTCAAGTGTGACTTCATTTGTTTACGCTTTAAGGCGTTAACATGGATCGTGAGTGTCTTACAGAGAGTTGTGAATCATTGATATGGCCTTCCTCCTCCAGGAAACTGAATCAGACATGGTAGAAGACGGAATTTTACACATACTGGCATGGTGCCAGACATGGTATAAGCTGCTCAGGCCAAAGACACTACCCTACTGACGTCACTGTAGCCTTGAAATCACATCAAACGTTCTTTTAACACTACCAGTTACACAAGGAGAATTGGAATGGTGTTATGTGCTGAAAAAGTAATGAATAGCTTTGGAATCAAAACAAACTTCTGCTATTGACATGTAACCTTGCTTCAAGATGGTTCTGGATCTCTGTTTCTGTATGCCAAATAACATTATTAGTGGCACACTAATGTCACACTACTTCTATCTTTGGAATAGTTGTAAGATAACAGTATCAAAGAGACAGTTGTCAGACAAGAATATCATTGATACAGTGATCATACACGGGTGTCATTGAGAAAGTTGTCAAACTTTCACCAAGCTGTTTAACAGAAGAACGTATTATTCAGACATTTGCTCAGAAAACAATATATATTGTCATGTAGCTGAATTATGCACTATTGGATCCAGAGGTAGGGTCACAATTGTTAGACAGGAGTATCATTGTTACAGTTGTAAGAAAACAGTATCATGGATATGGTTGTCAGACAAATGAGACAGTTGGACAATAATGACAGAGTATTGAGTTCACAAAGTTAACAACACAACCATCATTGTCATCATCAGTGTCATCTTCATTGTCATCGTCATCATTTATATGCTGGAGCCATGTTTATGTCAGACAGTATTTCATTATAGAAAGTTCATGATTTGTTCACCATTGGTCCCAATGCCATTGGTCCCTTCATCAATAGACCACCATTGTTCCACTCATCAATAACTCACCATTGGTCCCCTCATCATTAGACCACCATTGGTCCCCTCATCAATAACTCACCATTGTTCCACTCATCAATAACTCACCATTGGTCCCCCTGCCATTGGTCCCTTCTTCAATAGCCCACCATTGGTCCCCTCATCAATAGCCCACCATTGGTCCCCTCATCAATATCCCACCATTGGTCCCCTCATCAATAGCCCACCATTGGTCCCCTTATCAATAGCCCACCATTGCCACCCTCATCAATAGCCAACCATTGGTCCCTCTGCCATTGGTCCCTTCTTCAATAGCCCACCATTGGTCCCCTCATCAATAGCCCACCATTGGTCCCCTCATCAATAGCCCACCATTGGTCCCCTCATCAATAGCCCACCATTGGTCCCCTCATCAATAGCCCACCAT